ATTTTTTATATCATTAATTTAGACGATGAGCACTTTAGACGTATAACACTATGACGATGAAGTCTATTATGTTCTTATATGTCTTTGGCATCCGAGGCCCGCTACATACATACATAATACATACAGAATTGAACTTTATATATTAGATTAGACTAATAATATTCTGCACTATTATACACATTGTTTGGCGTTCACTTGGTGCGCAATTCTTTTTTCTACGGAATTCTATTCTATTTTAAAAAATTTAAGTAATTAAAAATGGATTATATATTATGTCTATTTCCGGAGCCATCCCCCGTAGTGTTATATAAGAAAATTTGCGAAAGTTTAGGGAGACCACTCACGGTTTATTATGTTAAGAAAGCTGGTCAGTACGTATTAGGATAGCTTAAAAATTAATTAAAGGTAGAACGTGATACGCTGTTGTTTTAGTTTGGGAGATTTAGCACGTTCAGTGAATTAGCAAACTGTTGGTATTTTTGCGGCACATGGTAGAGGCGTAGCTGAAGGGGGGGGAGGAGGCGGCCGCCTGGGCGCCTACCCTAGAGGGTCCTAACAGAGTTAGAAAAAAAATTAAAAGCTAATTTTATGCTGCAGTTTAGAATGTAAACAAAGTTTAGAAATTTAACGGCAACGAGCCTTTTTATACTGATTTAACTGTTTTCTGCCTTGATTTTGTAACCGTAAAATATATACCCTTATATACATTCCCAGCTATCCTAGAAAGGAGGGGGCGCTTTTTCAAGGACTAAAAATGGGAAAAATTAACACTGGATTAGTGATTTGATAAACTTAACCACTTACAGAAGAAACCGATTGTACTAAAGTGTTTATACGACTGTGTAATATTAAAAAAGAGTTGGTGTCGTTAAAACCCGCTTAACCAACGTTGTCCAAGATGGTGGAGAGGAAGTGGGTCGCGCTTTTTAAAAAATCGCAAGGATTTGTAGTAACGCTTAATGTTCGATTTCGTTTTACCCAGCTATTCTAAACAAGTTAATAAAAAGTCTAGTGACAACTTAAGCGCAATTTCCTTATGTTATCCATAACAATTTTAAATCGAGATAAATCATATATTCAGCAGTTAAATAATGCAAAACAAGTAGTTTTAATAATTCAAAACAAAATAGAAAATATATTTATTAACGAGATTTAAAAAAAATATGCGGACGTGTAGGGGGTATTTAGTTGTCGCGCTCTCTATATTGCTATATAGTACTGTAGTGAATTATGTATAATGTAATTTTTTTTTAAATTTGTGACCAAACGAAAGGATATTTTTGAAAACTTTCTTCGGCAATATTGTTCTAAATTATGGCAGGAATCGATTGGTAAATGTTTCAAGTCGCTAAGTGGTCTGGTTGCCGAGATATGGGCCAAAAACTGCATTTGGAAGGAATTCCGGGAATTTTTTTGGCCCGCAATCATCCTCGGAACTTGCTTAACATATTTGCTTTTGGAACTAGTCCTCGATATTGCTTCGTTGAGGAGGAGATACGACTTAAAGCTGCGGACACGCTGCGGACACACATCCATCCAGAAATGACGAGTTAATAATCGCAATCCCCCAGTATGGAAATTGCGCTAAAAATGACGTAACTAATTCTTTGTACGATTCTTACGATTTTCTCAAATTCAACGTGAGAGATCAGATACTTTTACTTGATTGTATTACATCTTACCAGGATAACTGTATTAAAGAGAAATAAAAATCACATATTCTTGTATTGTTTAGCAGACTGTCGGAGCTGGTGAAGGGAAGGCAACACTCTTGGCCAAAATTTTAAGAGAGAAAAAATTAGTATATTGTACTGAATAGATCATTTTTATTGCTTTTTTTCATTACACTTTATTTCTTTGTTCAAACTAAATCTTTCAACTTTTCCGGGCTGTCGCACACACACACACACACACACACACATATATATATATATATATATATATATATATATATATATATATATATATATATATATATATATATATATAAATATATATATATATATATATATATATATATATATATGGGGGCGCCAAGTTGGAAATTCGCCCCGGGCACCGGGAGGGGTCGCTACGCCTCTGGCACAACGAAGAAGGAGTTAAGACGTGGTTGGTTATCAAAGTTAGCAACGTTTACAAATCTGGTCGATGATACTACGTAATCGATACCTTGTAATGTTAAACACCCACACAGTGTGCGGTGGAAACCCCCCCCCCGCCCCCGCCTCACTCCACCCACAATGTGTGGGTGTTTTATATTGAAGAAAATTTCTACAAATCGAACAATACAAGATTTAAAATAATCCAATTTTATGGGTAACGTTTTAATTTCAGTGAATTTTATTACTACGGGTCTCTGTTGTAGCAATAAAAAAAAAGTTAATTTCCATCTATATTTCAATAATTTTGTCTTTCAGCAAGCTGCCCTGTTACTGTTAGACAGCTGTTCACGTGGTGTTTTTGAAGTTTGTGTGTGGGACGATGTATTAGAAGATAATAGAAGAAGCACAGTCTAAACATTTTAGGTAATAAGAAAGTCAACCCCTTTCCATTATATTGTTAGCATGTACACTGGCTAAATCCTTGGGACTTGAAAATAAATTTGAATAAACGTTTAGCAAGGGGAACATGTTTTCTTTATGTTACTACCCCGGCCATGTAAGTAGTTGCTCTTACTTTAGGACAAAGAAACATCTTTGGTTCAGGGGCGTAGCTAGCATGTCGCTAGTCGCCGCTGTTCGGGCTCAATTTTGTGCGCTATAACAGATAGTTATTGAAATATACACCTAAGACGTCAATGAAGAAAGTAAAAAATTAAGTATGCCGATGTTGAGAAAAAATACGCTTTAAATTTATATTTTTTTTTTTTGCCTGCCGACGTAATTATTGCGATCGTTTTTTTTTTAACATTATATTTTTGCTATTAGCAAAAAAATGAAACAATGTTAACTCTTTATTATAATTTTAATAAGTCAAACTAAAGAAAAGCAAATCTATTAAAAAGAATAGCTTTAAAATTAGCACAAGAAAGAAACTCAGGCACCCACTATGAATAACGAGCTTTCCTATCTCTAATATATTCTTGACCGGCTTTGTGAGATATGAAGTTTCGATTTTCGTATATATATATATATATATATATATATATATATATATATATATATATATATATATATATATATATATACTAGCGTACCCGTTCCCCGCGCGTTGCCGCGGGGTTAGAAGAAAGTTTGACGAAATGTATTAGAAGGATTTCACCAACGCGTTACCAATCATATGTTCTTAGACGCGTGACCGTCCTTTCTAAAAGTGAGTTATTTAAATGTAAACAATGCCTGCGCTTGGATCATAAATATCGGGACACGGGTTTATAACACTACCGCATGAAAACATTGAGTGTACATTAATCACTCACCGAAATAATATGGTAGAACACACTTCGGTGACCGCCCATGTGTCAGAGACGTAGAGGGGCGCTCTCAGCCCCCCCCCCCCCCCGATTATACTACCGCATAGGCGAGGCGTATGAACCCTGGGTCCTTAAAACTAACAGGCGCCATCGTGCCAAATAGCATCCTTTTAATAATGATGCAGATTTCGTCATTCGCTAAATTGACACAAATGAACAGGATTTTTTTTTTAACACGTAAACAAATTATTTGACGTGTTTTAAACATCAGTGTGACTGATGCAATATGCTGGCGTTACTAATGGTCTATTATTAGATGCACGATCTCAATTTCTGACAGGATTGTCTAATCATAGATGCTTATTGCATCATTATTGCTTATTACAAAGTGACGAAACTCTACAGTAGGCTCCTTATATTCAAAAAGTTATTTTTTCATCTTTGGCAAGGTGACGAAACTGTACAGAAGGATTTCCTCGCGTTACAAAGTTATTTTTAGAAGCCTGTTTTATTTTTACCGCTGAATATAGTAGTACCCCTTACTCACTATGCAGGACGCTCGATTGACCAAGTGCCAACATAGTCGCTCTAAAACTCTGGGCGCCAAACCGTGTATTGACGAAAGTTGTACCCTATATGGCGCCGCCCATAAGAAACTTTAGTTTTCTTTTTCGCAGAAATATTCTCGGGAGTATTCTCATTTACTCCCTAAAGTTTCATGGCACTCGGATGAACCGCATCCGAGTTTTATTTTTTATATACCGTGTATAGAGAACAAAAATCGCTCCCCCCCCCTGGGGGCGCCGCCCTTGCAATATTAAACAATATTTTTTTGCAGAACCCTACTATTCAGTAATCTAATCATCTCCCCAAAGTTTCATGGTACACGGATAAACGGTGTTAAACCAAAATAGACTTTACTTTTTATAAACCGTATATAGAGAAAAATCTCAGCCTCCCGTGGCGCCGCCCTTGCGAAATTAAAAAAGGATTTTTTTTTTACAGAACCCTTCCCTGAATTGTTCTAATCAACTCCCCCAAAGTCTCATGGCTATCGGATAACGGTGTCAAACCAAAATCGACTTTTATTTTTATATACCGCATATAGAGAAAAATCGCACCCTTCTGTGGCGCCGCCCTTGCGAAATTAAAAATTATTTTTGTACAGAACCCTTCCCTAGAGTGGTATAATAAACTCCCCAAAGTCTCATGGCTATCGAATGAACGATGCCAAACCAAAATCGACTTTTATTTTTATATACCGTATATAGAAAAAAAAACAAATCGCGCCCTGTCGGGGCGCCACCCCTGCGAATTTGAAATATTTTTTTCGCAGAAACCTCCCCAGGAATATTTTCAACAACTTCCCAAAGTTTCACGGCGATGTGATGAGAGGTGTAGTAATGCATAAAAGACCGACAGACAGACAGACAAACAGACAGACAGACACCCAAACATACATTTCCTTTTATATATATAGATATAGGGAGCCGGAACATCAATTTTTTTTCCGCCACTACTTTCTGTATTCAATATTGCGTGGGCTTAAATCAATAATAATATTGTTTATGTTTCTGGATTAATAAAGTAGCGTATAAAACATCGCCCGTGCAATGTTTGAGCTGTACTTCGCTGTGTGAATCCAGTTCATCAGTCGACTCTGGTAAGCCAAGTTTCTTAAGAAATTACGTGTCTTGTTTGTTAAACTTGGTTAGTTGTTAGTTTTGTTTTTTGTTTAAATATTGAAGGAATTTTTGCTTTAAGTTTTAAGAATTTGATTTGTTTTATATACATTAGACATGAAAAAAATGTACATCAATTTGTAAAGACACATTGAGCTAAATCAGGGGTATCCAAACTTTTCAGCCCGAGGGCCGCATTAACAATCAAATATCAGTTCGGGGGCCAGAGTTTTTTTTTCAGACATCTCTTCGGGGTGGCAGAACCCCCCCCCCCCCCCCCACTCCCACCGAAAAAGTCTACCGATCCCCCCCCCCCCCCCCTGCAACGTAATATAATTTATAGATCATATAGAAAATTATATTTTAAAAAAATTATAATAATAATCATGTAAAAATTTCAAGTGTCGCCCCCATAACCCCCCCCCCCCCATCCTCTCCGGAGAAAAAATCTGAAAGAATTACTGTTTGGGGGGCGACAACTAGAGGTCCAAGTTTGTTCTCGAATTGTTCTTCACGTATTTTATTATTGAAAATGTTTTTTCACACAGGTATGTTGTCGCAAAATTTGAAAGGTAATTTGATGCAAAAGTTTTAATATTAGGAATCTCTTCCTTGGAAAAAACCCACCAGCCCTTCTTTGAACTGGTCTCTAAGGAGTTCATTTCCTTGCAGTTCAGTGACCTTCAGATGCAGTTAATCTGGGCAACTGGCCACATTAGCTTAAAATGTGTTTTTTAAACAGTCTCACTTTTTTTGCAAAACCCGATGAGCCCATGTGACCTTATGAAATTCACCATCTTCAACACATGATTCAGTACTTATATTAAGCACACAAAGCTTGCTCATGAATAATACCGTGCTGGAACATTGGTTGCAAAATGTTTTTCTCATTACACATCTGCTTTCGCTTGTCCTACCAAGCCTTTCATTATGCCACTCATGTTTTTTCCTCCATCAACAATCAGGTATCTGAGGTTAGTCCAGTCCAAGTAATAATCAGCATATGTTCTTTTAACTCATTGAATATATCATCTCCGGTAACGACGCTTTACATGTTATGTAGGGAAGCCAGCTCTTGTGTTATGTTCATGTCTTAATCCACACCCATAATAAACACAAGCAGTTGAGATGTGGAACAGCTGTCCAGGGATTCATCCATTGCAAGTGAAAAATTGCAAAACTTGCTTGCATTTTCGCTATTTGAGTCACGATGTTTTCACTTATGTCTGCAACACTTTGGGCAACAGTATTTGCATCCAAAAATATTTTCAAATTGTTTTGAATTTTCTGGGCAATGTTCCTCAGCCAGCTCCAACAAAGATTTTTTTTTTGCGTGAACAAAAATATCTCTGCGGGCCGGATGAGAGGACCTCGTGGGCCGCATCCGGCCCGCGTGACGTAGTTTGGATATCCATGGCGTAGATGAATGTCTAACGTTAATATAAATAATGATTACATAAATACAATTACATATTACATATGCTAATGCGGAAATGTAAAAAATTTAGTCTAAATTACGGATGCTAATAAAATACAATCCTATTAAGATTGAATGTTCCGATCAAGTTAAAATTAACAGTGGTATCTGAGTAATTTTTATGTTGGAAGCAAATTACAGAAAAACAAGTTGCAAGCCAGCGCCATGAAGCTATTTATAACAGTCGTGTTGCTTTTCGGCGTATCTCAGGCACAACGTGAGTATAAATTTTACACTGGTTGTTTACACAGAGTCTACGGTAGAAGAAAGTTGTGAGGTATATTAATACATGACACATTATCATATGTTTTATATAGTTTTAATTCTACCATTATGGGACGGCGTGGTCTAGCGGTAGAGCGCTAGACTACTAACCCTAAAGTCTCGAGTTCAAATCCGAGTTGAAGTCAGTGGAGCGTCCCTCAGTCCACCCAGCAAAAGTGGCGTCTGGGTGTAGTGCTGACCAGATTATCCCTTCATACACCGAGGGCAAGAAACATGAATTCTACTTCATCTTCCCAATGGATCGCTTGTTCTAAAAAGGAAACTTTAATAATTTTTAATACTACCATTTGCAGAGTGTGATGTAGGTTGGACACAACGACCAAATACAAATTTCTGCTACATCTATAAATCAACACCCACAACGTTTAGTTCTGCAATTAATACATGTAGCGTTTCTGACGCTGTACTATCTAACGTTGGTGATCAAGCTGAACAAGACTTTATAGCAGGTAAAAGAAGAAAATACAGTTGTTTTCCTTAAAATATATATTAATGCATCTCTATTTCAATAACTATAAAGAAATGCGTGGTCGCATTTAACCTGTGTTTTAATATATAGTAATTATAGAAAGTCAAGCCGTTATTAAAAGCTATTTAACATAAATAGTTTTGATTCATTATATAGTTAATGGAAAATTATTTTTTTTTGTTCCTTCTATTGCTTATATACAAAGCATGTTATTTCTATTTCTATTTAATACTTTAAAAAATTAAAGACATCGAATAACATAGGTAAAAAGGTTTGTGCTCCACATATACGCACTGAATTGTTTGTAATTACAGAGTATAGTTAATGCTTCATATAGCAATATTATTTTTTTTAATATATGTAACTTAAAATTTTGAAACAAAACTGGTTGATAGAAGCTGTTGAGATTTAGCTCGCTAGTTCCAGCGGAGGATGAAAACACCCGACAGACCGTTGAACTAGATTATTAAATAAGAGCATATACTTAATTTACAATAACAACTTAATTCAAATTTTAATTAACTAATTTTTTTTAACTAATCTCGGGTTAAATTGTATCTTAAGACATTGTTGTGTGTATGTCACAGATAATGATACTGTGACTATGATAACACTATAGCAACACAATTATAGCTCTACATTACTTTATAGAGTTCAGAGAATTTAGATTATTAATAAACAAATTATGTTATTTAAATCAAAGGTCTGATAACTTCACAAACAAGCGATGTATGGATCGGTTTTGCTGATTCTATAAAGCATGAGGGAATTTGGCATTGGTACTTCGAACCCTGTAAAACATATTTAAATTGGGATGAAGGTAAAATGATGCAAGTTACTTCTAAAGTTCCGTTACTGTGTGTGAGCTTGAGTGTGTGTGTGAGTGTGAGTGTGCCTGTAAATGTAAATATAAATGAAAAGTACGTGTTAATATAAATATAAATGAGAATGAGATTGTAATGCGAATGCAATGTGAATGTAAATGTAAATGTGAACGTAAACGTAAAAGTATATATATATATATATATATATATATATATATATATATATATATATAATTGGTCTATGAATATGTTCGTGTGTTTATTTTATTGGCACAATCATATTCGGCTGCTTTAATTCTAAACATGTGTAAAAAATTGTTTTTCGCTATTTGTTTAAGATAAATGGAATCTTGATTTGTCCTTATGTTATCAGGACAACCAAGCTATGGGAACGGTGGCACAGACTGTGCGGTTATGAAAAGTTCCCAAGCTTCATCTTACCGCTGGGACGATACCGCTTGCACCAATCGTAATGCTTATGTTTGCAAGAAATTACTAGGTATGTTTTAACAATCGATAAAGTAATGTCAAGGGGCGGCGTGGCCTAGTGGTAATAAGATAGACTGCGAACTCGAAAGTCACGAGTTCGAATCCGGATTCAAATGAGTAGAAAGTGCAAGAAGCCAGGTTGTTTTTATGGGGTATCTAACTCACGTTATGGAAACAAAAGGCAGCAATAGACCTGACCATATTATACTCTACTTTATCTGCCACATGTAATATTGTGCAAAATTAAATCAATTATGAAAAATAAATTGAAATTAAATTATATGTTTTTCATCGATAATGTGTGTGTCCGCTGTAACTAATATTTGAAATTTTTCTGATCCAGGTGGTGGCTCAGTGTTTGATCTAAACACCAATATGGTAAAATCCAGTTTACATTTTTACATTCTGTTTAATATTATTAAACAAAATGTGCGTTGTTCAAATAAATGCCGATCGTTGATATAAACTTCTTTGAGCGACCAACCACAGTAATTAATTAATTGTTGATTTCTAGGCTCGAGTCGCGTTCAACATTATGAAACACAAGTAAAAGTAAAAAAAATAAAGATACAAATTTAACAAACTGCAATGTACTCACAACATAAGAATTAAATGAGAATTGACTACTTAAAAAGAATTATATTACTTATACACTATCGCAAACATAGAAAATATTAATATCATAACATTTTTAAATTGCCAAAAAATTATACTAAACATTACACACGTGAAAACTACACACACGCATTAACACTGTTATCTCTTGCTTAAATTGTCAACAAAACGTATTTCAGTCTCCAAGTGTTCATTAAATATATTATACTAGGCATTCGCTTAGGTTTTCAAAATCAAAATATATAGTTTAAAACTCGCTCTAGACATATGGTTAAAATAATAGTTTCCAATTTGAAGCTTTACACTATGGATAATTTGAAATTAATGTACACGACAAGTACATCAACCAGAATAATTGTCACAAATTGCATTCCTATCTTTTAACTCAAAAATCTAAAAGGGGGAAGTGTGCTTTAACAAAGGAGGGGGGGGCACAACAGTTTCAGGATGGGGTGGGTGGAATTTGATAAAAGTATATATTTTTTATATAAATTCAATTTCCTTCGGTGTGGAGGAGGGAGGCGATAAATTTCCTTTGGGGTGGGAGAGGGGGGGGGCAAGCCCCCCAGAAGAGATGCCTGGTAGAAACTCTGGTCTAATTCAATCATTTCTAACTTAATAAATAATACTTACACATTCTCTATACAACCTACACCTTGTATATCACCTACTCAGACTGGATATACCTCTACCATAACAATATAAAAAAATTGGGTAAAATTTTCGTAACACATTTATCATTATGGTAAAAAGAAAAAAAAACTATGTTAGTATGTATAACTATTTATTACTTAGGATTCCGCATTGAATATGAAGAAAGAACATGGTTTTTGAAATAAAAATCTCGAGTTCGTTAAACAGGTTAAATCTTCTCTGTTAAACAAGAGTGAGTTATTTAAATTATATTTACTTGATTATTTAATTGGCACGTAAAACCTTTTAATTTCTTACTGGAACAATGAAGAGGTATAGCTTTATTTATTTAGGACTTCGATGACCACAGTGTAATAGATATTATTGGATACTGTGTGATCATTAAACAAACAATGTTCTTTATATATTTAACACATTATGCTGTTAACGAGTGAAATAGAATTCGACACATTTCACTCGGCGAGGTCGAGTCGGTAAAGCGTCTGGTTACTAAACGGAAAAGTCTCGAGTTCAAACCCCCGGGCAAATGAGACATCTCGAAAATCTACTGCCTTGTAGTTTGTTCCTGGAAGGCCACGAAAGCAAATCCAAAAAGAAAAGCAGGCTAAAATAACAAGTTGACACGTAATACTTAGTTGGGTGGGAGGGGATTCCTTCCAACAGTAAACATAAAGAACGAAGAAGAAGTTACATTTTACTTTAAAGTTTATATTGAATGTTCACATCTACAGGAGTGCTTCTTCAACTGCTTTACAAAGTTCCCTAGTGGCACATGTTTGGGTGCAGAATACCTGAATGACACCTGCTTCTATGAAACTATAAAATTTGACCATACATCAAATGGTGTTGACACGTCATACATTGCATGCACGACAGGTGAGCGAAAGCCTTTGAAAACGTTTATTATGCAGAATAAAATCTACCATACATAATGTAAAATTATTGAAACACGCTCATCAATTGCTATAATTTTTAGATAGGCAAATTGAACCCCTTCTCTAACACAGAAAAACAACAACACTAACATAACCAAGCATAACCTACAATGATCGCGTACACTGTTTCCATTTAGTACAACCCATCACTATTTTGATTCGGTTAAAAAGAGACTTGTACGCACAATTTGATTATATCTTAGAAATGATGTAAACATTTATGTGTGTATTTTTAATCGTTGTGGGCGAAATAGTTATTCTGCCATTATTTAAATGAACTATTTAACGGCAGAAATACCCCCACAACCCACCACTGATGGACCATCGACTACAGCCGCAGCAGCAGATACAACAACAACTGCAGCAGTCGATACAACAACAACTGCAGCAGCAGATACAACAACAACTGCAGCAGCAGATACAACAACAACTGCAGCAGCAGATACAACAACAACTGCAGCAGCAGATACAACAACAACTGCAGCAGCAGATACAACAACAACTGCAGCAGCAGATACAACAACTGCACCAGTCGATACAACAACAACAGCAGCAGTCGATACAACAACAACTGCAGCAGCAGATACAACAACAACTGCCGCTACAGATCCACCAACAACAAGGCCTCAAGGCGGAAGTAAGTTAACGAACAACTTATTTTTACAATCACAATTTTGCTAAACGTTTAAAAGTCGTACATGTGAAAAAAACCTGCTGTAATGTTAATATAACTTACGTTTTTATTTATTTTAGGGAAGCATTGCAAGAAACGACAGTGATTGAGTCTTTGAGCCGACAGTAGGTTTACCACAAACAGTGTTTCTTCCAGACTTTTTTCTTCGGAGGGGGCACTTGACATTTTCGAGGGGGGGGGGGGGGTGGTAGACTTTATTAGGGGGGGGGTGGGGGGGGGGGAGCGGACACTGTTAAAAGTATATATTTTCTATATAAATCATATAAATTTCATTTCGTTCGGGGGGGGGGGGCGGTAGAATTCCCCCCCCCCCCCCCCCCCCCCGAAGAGATGCCTGGAAGAAACTCTGACCACAAACGATATTAGATTTAGAGATTTCGCAATTTGATTAACATTTTAGAATATAAATTGCTAAGAACAACAACCCACGTCTTTTTAAATAGTTAAACACAGGGCACGGAGTTTACTAGAACAAAAAGTATAGCCGTTCTTTATGAAATGGAGAGTTAATTAACAGTAAGCTTATTTGAAACATTTTTTTTTCTTTAAGTTTTATATTTAATAAATTAGGCCTACATAAGCTAACCTATTATTTATTTTTCATAGACATCGGACATTGTTTTAATTGCCGTTTATTTTTATATGAACTTTTATTTAATGAATTAATGTTTGTTCTTATGATTTCCAATATCATATAGTCAACAATACCCGATTTGAAACCTGAGTTGCAAAAAATATCGAACATATATGATAAAAAACCAAGAAAATCTGTAGCTTACGAACAGATTTCCGAAAAGGTTCAGAAAATGAAAATTAATACACGAATGGGAATTGGTTTACTGAAACACAAAATGGCACATTGATTACAAAGCCACACGTTATTAAGTGGTTTAGACAGTGATTTGTTGCCTTATTAAATATTCTCTACTCATTTTTAAATGTTGCTCTGTAATATCGTAATATATTGCTAAAATAGCACGAGTGAATGATCATTGTGTTTTAATTAATATTTACAGCTCCGGTAATTGAAGAGCAGATATTCCTCGTTGATCAAGCCATCAATGAAGTGTCGGTGTCATGTTTCTTGCAATTTTCAGCCCAGCTCTGATTTGATAAAAAAAACAACAAAAGAAGAACTTTATAAATTCGATTTTTTCCTCATTTTATTTTACTTACATATCTTAAATAATTTCATTGATAAACACTGAATTTTTAAATTATAAATATTTGAATTTAACCATTTATTTGAAAGTTCAAGCATTTTTTTTTATTTTACTATATACCTCTATCAATAAAGTTTTGTTCAATACAGTTTCCTTCAAATAGACTTACTCAATAAAGTTTTCAAAAGTTCAAAGTTTGATTATTTATTTATTCATTCATTTATTTATTCAATTACGGTAATAATAGTAAGCACGGAGGCCTTTTTTCACATTGGCAGTTTTAAAATAAACAAATAAAAGCAACAATTTAATAACAGCATTTAATAAACCGGGAGTGATCTCCCTTAAACTTTCTCGAATATTCTTATATAAAATAACAGGGGATGGGAACTCGGGCTATAGACATGATTTTTAATCCATTTAAATACTTAAAGTTTTAAAAATAGAATAAAATCTCGTTGACAAATTAATTGCACACTAACTGAACGCCAAATAAAAAAGCGCATAATAGTGCGCAATATTATTAGTACTTTTAAAATTTACATTAGTTTTTTGAGAAATCGGAAGTAGCGTAAACTACTACTTCCGGTCAACGGAAATTACTCAAAATTTAACAGAAGGTAGAGAATTAGATCTTTTACTTACATGTGAAATTTCATTTATCTATCTGAAATAGTACTCAAGTTATAGGCTTTTGAAAAATTCAAAGTAGGAAAAGTACCACTTCCGGTTATCGGAAATCGCTCAAAAGTTGATACGGATCTGCGATTTTGATAAAATACTTATATATGAAATTTCATCAACCTAGCTGTAACGGTACTCAAGTTATCGTGTTTACACACGGACAGACAGACAGACAGATACACAGACAAACACACAGACATACGGACAAGATTGCAAAATTATGTTTTTCCGTATCAGTGAGGTGTAAAACGTCGAGATTTGTAAAAATCTCGATTTTTTTTTTGCACGATTACAAGACTTTCTCTATACTTCGTATATACGAGGAAGTAATAAACCGGGAGTGATCTCCCCTAAACTTTCTCGAATATTCTTATATAAAATAACAGGGGATGGGAACTCGGGCTATAGACATGATTTTTAATCCATTTTAAATACTTAAAGTTTTAAAAATAGAATAAAATCTCGTAGACAAATTAATTGCACACCAAGTGAACGCGAATAAAAAAGCGCATAATAGTGCGCAATATTATTAGTACTTTTAAAATTTACATTAGTTTTTTGAGAAATCGGAAGTAGCGTAAATAAGTACTTCCGGTCAACGAAAAATTCTCAAAATTTGACAGAAGGTAGAGAATTAGATCTTTTACTTACATATCAAATTTCATTTATCTATCTGAAATAGTACTCAAGTTATAGGCTTTTGAAAAATTCAAAGTAGAAAAAGTACCACTTCCGGTTATCCGAAATCGCTCAAAAGTTGATACGGATCTACGATTTTGATAAAATACTTATATATGAAATTTCATCAACCTAGCTGTAACGGTACTCAAGTTATCGTGTTTACACACGGACACACACACACACAGACACACAGACATACGGACAGAATCGCAAAGCCCAGTTTTTCAGACTGGAATACGCATAAAACCTTTTAATTTTGATAAATCTGGATTTATAATTTTTGCCCGATTAAAATAAGTCCTCTATACTTCGGATGTGATGAAGGACTGAGGTGTAATACGGTGAAAATAGTTAAAATTTCAAGTGATTTTTGTGCACGATTACAATACTTTCTCTATACTTCGTATATACGAGAAAGTAAAAAAGCAATAGCATAGTAAGGACATAGCAGTAACATAGCACTAAATAAACCGGTAGTGATCTCCCCTAAACTTTCTCGAATATTCTTATATAAAACAACAGGGGATGGTAACTGGGGATATAGTTATGATTTTTAATCCATTTTAAATACTAAAACTTTTAAAAATAGAATAGAATCTCATAAAAAAAACATTGCGCACCAAGCAAACGCCGAATAAAAACGCGTATAATAGTGCGCAATATTATTAGTACTTTATAAATTTACATGCGTTTTTTGAGAAATCGGAAGTAGCGTAAATTACTACTTCCAGTCAACGGAAATTACTCAAAATTTAACAGAAGGTAGAGAATTAGATCTTTTACTTACATGTGAAATTTCATTTATCTATCTGAAATAGTACTCAAGTTATAGGCTTTTGAAAAATTCAAAGTAGGAAAAGTACCACTTCCGGTTATCGGAAATCGCTCAAAAGTTGATACGGATCTACGATTTTGATAAAATACGTATATATGAAATTTCATCAACCTAGCTGTAACGGTACTCAAGTTATCGTGTTTACACACGGACAGACACACACACGGACAGACACACACACACACAGACATACGGACAAGATTGCAAAATTATGTTTTTCCGTATCAGTGAGGTGTAAAACGTCGAGATTTGTAAAAATCTCGATTTTTTTTTTTTGCACGATTACAATACTTTCTCTATACTACGTATATACGAGAAAGTAAAATGTGGAATAAAGAAATAATATTACATAGGCCAAGATGAGATAAATAAGAATATAATAGATAAATGAGAAATGTTTCAATGAGTCAGTTAGAGGGGTCATTAAATAATTGTTGTTTTAGTTTAGTTTTGAATATATTTTCAGATTTAGATTCTAGATAGTTTTATTTTATTAGAAAGATTGTTACAAAATTAGAACCAGAGTAGGCGAAGCTATGTTTTTGGAAAAAAATTGTATATGGGATTGGTAAATTAAGACGACGATTTAAAAGAAAAAAGGTCTGATAAGTAAGAGGGGGCTATTTCGTGGAATATTTTATATAAAAAAATTGCATTAGTATATATAATCTTTTTATTTAATGGAAGTATATTAGTTGTAATAAAAGAATCAAGGCTACTAGACAAGCCACTAACCAGTTTTATAGCCCTTTTTTGTAGTGATAGTAGAGGACGCTGCTTAGTTATAAAGCTGCCGCTCACACTGCAGAAGCATAATCCAACCTAGATTGAATAAAAGCTTCATAAAAAACCAGCCTGCTCCTATATTCCAGAAAGTTCTTTATCGTTGCTAGTTGAAAAGTTGTCTTTAATAGGGACATTTTTAGAAGATGGATATGACCGTAACAAGTGAGGTTGTGATCTATAATCAATCCTGGGCACTTGTAACTGTTAACCTGTTCAATGTTTGTATTGTCTATAGTAATGCGTAATGATGTGGAACGAAGACGAAGGCGTTTCTGATGAGTCGTTATAATCATTGACTTGGTTTTATCGGGGTGAAGTTTCATTTTGTTAAATTTTGTCCAAGTAGCAAGCTGATTGGTACATGTTTGAAGTTTGTAACTAAGTGAGTCAGCACTGTCTGCAAAGACATGTAAAGAAGTATCATCAGCGAACATCTCGCACTAACCAGCGTCAATGTGTAATGGAAGATCATTAATGTATAATGAAATAAACCGGGAGTGATCTCCCCTAAACTTTCTCGAATATTCTTATATAAATTCGAATATAGACATGATTTTTAATAACTTAAACTTTCAAAAATAGAATAGAATCTCATAGAAAAAAAATTGCACACCAAGCAAACACACAAAAAAATGTTCATAATAGTGCGCAATATTATTAGTACTTTATAAATTTACATGCGTTTTTTGAGAAATCGGAAATAGCGTAAATTAGTACTTCTTCCGGTCAACGGAAATTGATCAAAATTTGACAGAAGGTAGAGAATTAGATCTTTTACTTACATGTGAAATTTCATTTATCTAATTGAAATAGTACTCCAGTTATAGGCTTTTGAAAAATTCAAAGTAGAAAAAGTACCACTTCCGGTTATCGGAAATCGCTCAAAAGTTGATACGGATCTGCGATTTTGATAAAATACTTATATATGAAATTTCATCAACCTAGCTGTAACGGTACTCAAGTTATCGTGTTTACACACGGACAGACAGACAGACAGATACACAGACAGACACACAGACATACGGACAAGATTGCAAAATTATGTTTTTCCGTATCAGTGAGGTGTAAAACGTCGAGATTTGTAAAAATCTCGATTTTTTTTTTTGCACGATTACAAGACTTTCTCTATACTTCGTATATACGAGGAAGTAAAAAAGCAATAGCATAGTAAGGACATAGCAGTAACATAGCACTAAATAAACCGGTAGTGATCTCCCCTAAACTTTCTCGAATATTCTTATATAAAACAACAGGGGATGGTAACTGGGGATATAGTTATGATTTTTAATCCATTTTAAATACTAAAACTTTTAAAAATAGAATAGAATCTCATAAAAAAACATTGCGCACCAAGCAAACGCCGAATAAAAACGCGTATAATAGTGCGCAATATTATTAGTACTTTATAAATTTACATGCGTTTTTTGAGAAATCGGAAGTAGCGTAAATTACTACTTCCAGTCAACGGAAATTACTCAAAATTTAACAGAAGGTAGAGAATTAGATCTTTTACTTACATGTGAAATTTCATTTATCTATCTGAAATAGTACTCAAGTTATAGGCTTTTGAAAAATTCAAAGTAGGAAAAGTACCACTTCCGGTTATCGGAAATCGCTCAAAAGTTGATACGGATCTACGATTTTGATAAAATACTTATATATGAAATTTCATCAACCTAGCTGTAACGGTACTCAAGTTATCGTGTTTACACACGGACAGACACACACACGGACAGACACACACACACACACAGACATACGGACAAGATTGCAAAATTATGTTTTCCGTATCAGTGAGGTGTAAAACGTCGAGATTTGTAAAAATCTCGATTTTTTTTTTGCACGATTACAATACTTTCTCTATACTACGTATATACGAGAAAGTAAAATGTGGAATAAAGAAATAATATTACATAGGCCAAGATGAGATAAATAAGAATATAATAGATAAATGAGAAATGTTTCAATGAGTCAGTTAGAGGGGTCATTAAATAATTGTTGTTTTAGTTTAGTTTTGAATATATTTTCAGATTTAGATTCTAGATAGTTTTAT